CCATTGCCAGCACAGGGCTGCTCTAGTTGCGAGTACTTGATATTCCACTCCGTTACGTAGAGCAGCTGGCCAGTGTGCATATCGACGCCAGTGTAGGCAATGCAGCCGCGCTGTGAATGACCTGGAAGTGGAAATGCATAAGCTACAGAACAGTTAAGACAAGAGTAGTAGTTACCCAAGCAACAGCCGCGTTGGATTTGCCTGCCCACCTTGTAAAAGGAGAGCATTTCTGTATTTCGATGATCGAGACACTTGTTTGGATACGTGTGACCGCGATAGTAGGGCGACGAGCTCTCAGAACTTTCCGAGGAGCTCGGATGGCGATTGTTGGACTCGCTCATGCTGCGTCTCGGTTCGCCGCGTCGCTTGGCCTCCGTTTTGAACATCTCTTTGCGACGCTCCACCTCGTCCATGAGCGTCTGCCGCTCAAGAGTTTCCTTTCGCTTTTGCATGTCCAATAACTCCTGTTCACGCTTTTGCTTGGCCTGTAGCATTTCATCATAAAATGAACCCTTCGGTGGTTTGTTGTGCTGCAGCAAAAATGCCTGAACGGTCTGTGCCAGCTCATAAATCATTACCTCGCCGCGCAGGTCCTGCGATTGTGCATGCAACTGGGCGAGCAGAGCCTCCAGCAGCTGATCTGATATGCCCTTGGACTCCTCGAGTACTATTTTGGGGGCACTGCAAAAAACGAACCGCGTATTAGCTAATTGTGGCACAACAATATAGGCCGACTAACAGCTTTGGATACTTGGAGGGACATGTCACATGTAGCTTGGTACAAACATAGGCTTGTGGCAGGCCATTGGAGGAGTCTCGCAGCGGCGTTAGGAGTATGCGTATGTCTGTAGGCTTCCATTGCGTCGCATTGCTTTGCGGCCTCAGATCCTCCACATCGGCGCCGAATATGGACTACAAATAGCAAACGTTCATTTCATCATCTTACAAATATGTAGGTTCGCATAAATTAAACTTGCCTTTATAGCTTCCAATTCCTCCGTCTGTCTTTCGCGAAACGATTCTTTCGCTGCCATTTAACTGTAAATTTGTTCATTAAATTTTGATAAAAAATCCTCAAACACTGCACGTTTGCAGTGCAAAAATACTGAAGTCTCGCTGCTTGTTGTTGGTGTATCTACGTGTGTGTGTGTGTGTGTGTGTGTGTGCTTGTTTTTTGTTATGAATGCTGCGGCCGGCGTGTCTTTTCTGCGATGGCAGCTGTTTCATTATTCGTGAGCTTCTGCATCGCTTTGTGGGTTGTCTTTACGTGCAGTTTGTGATAACTAAATTTCTTTTATTGCTGGTGGCAGTTTTATTGCGCAAAATTGCAACTTGTTGCTCTTTTCATTAAAATTTTTCACTTGCGTTTCGTGTGCGTAGTTGCTAGTCGTATAACACTTAACATTACTTGTTGGGCTCATAACATCCGTTATTCCAGGAACATCGATACCAGCTGCGTTCCGCTTATTGGGATTTTTCATAATTGACGAGGCGGTCACACTTACAGATTACAAAAGTAACGGTGCCTTACTTCTAAATGTGAATTTCCGAAGTTCATTTATTTACGTTTTTGAATTTGTTATTGATTTGTGCGAAGTTATTAACTAACTATTATGGTGCAAACACGCGTTATTGTGTATCTAAACCAAACCTCTGATGAAATACAAACAGGCGCTGCCGTAAAAAAAGACACTTTCCAATATGGCGGCGAAGTGTGCGTATCGGATGATAAAACTTTAAGACTCTTGTGCTGTCAAAACACTTCCAAACCTCACGTGCTTGTTGCCCAGAAGCTGCGCTTCGATATGCTCTGCTCGCAGAGAAATGAGGAGCACAAGGAGCGTGAACTAAAAGCATTGATGCATACTCTGTTAGTAGATCAAAGAGATTGCCTGCTCATGCATCTGACTGCTGAGCGTGGGTATCATTTGATGTTTCTCGTCGATACGCTCGTCGTCCAGATCAATGTGAAGCTGCAGCAGGAAGCGTTACAACTAGAAGGCTGTACTGTGCGCTACAGGCATGTGGTCGAAGGCACAAGTTCAAGCAGTCTGGACACTCAGAGCAATTTCAGCGATATGAAGCATTTGATGAGCTGGCTGTTGAACGAGTATCGCATGCGCACTGCTTTGGCTACAGGACATGAGGCTCTGGAGGTGCAGTATGTGCTGACACGTAAGGAGCAGGGCAGTCGCTTCAGCGTCAAATTTCACATTCTGCTTGTGGCCATGGAGGAGATGTGCTTGGGCACGCTGTGTGGCCTTCGCTGCTATTTAAGCAATGATCTTCTCACGGCTGCACTGTCGGTCACGGAATTGACTACCTATATGCGCCAAGCGGCTGAAGAGCATACCGGCAAATCACTATATATGCTGATGATGTGCCATGTGCTGGTAACTGGCAGCCAGGTGAATTGCAAAAATGTGCAGCTGCTTGGTTTAGCGCATTTGGCCTGCGAGCAACGTGACGCTATTCAGGAGCGAGTGGAAACTGTGAGTGGATCCAGCTTATGGCATACAATCTTTATTACTTCTTGTGTACCCTATTCCAGCTCCACATGTTGCCGACAGTTATCATGCCCAACACTGATGCTCTGGTCCAATTGAAAGAGCTTGAGCTCTGCCACCAGGAGATGAATGAACGTTTTCAATTACTTCATGACCAGCTCCTGGCTTATGTGCAGCATGAGCAGCAGTTGAAGCGCAGCCACTGCCAACTATTAAAAGAACGTGCCGACTTTGTTGCTACTCTGCTCGCGTCCGAAGCTAAACTTGTACAATTAAGAAACCTAATGGTGAACAATATACAAAATTAGTATTGTTTATTCTTTTCACCGTTAAATTATTTTGCATTACTTACATGTATTTTTAATTTTTTGTAAACGCTCATGTGTGTCCTTTGATAATAGTTGTTGTATATCTTAGCATTTATTTCGCGTGAATCTCTAGTTTGAAACTTTGATGTAAACCTTGTTTTTGTTATCCATTTAAAAGTAGCAAACTGTATTTGTTTTATTAGTTCAGATGCCATTTTCGACTTGAAATAAAATTGTGTAAACTTTTATCAAAATTTTATGTAAAAGATATTACCTCTCACAAGCAACCCAAAAACAGAAACAAGAAAGTTCCCTCCCGTTATGTGTGACAAGGTCCATCGCGTCGTTGTGTCCCTCACGGACACAATGCACAAGTCAGCCAAAAGCAGCAAGGAAACACCAATCGATAGCGACGTCAAGTTACTGGACAAGACCACATTGCTCCTACGCTCCAATAGCGGTACGGAAGCGGCCAAGGCGCCGTCGCCGCACTACTATCAACAGCTGCAGTTCGACGCTGTTGGCTATGAGGAAGATCGACATGTGCGCTGCGAACTGACCGGGCTTTTGGATCAAATGATGCGGAATCTTCGTCACGGATGTCTCCTGAGGTTGACGCCTCGTCGTTCGCATAATCTTAAGCTTCTGACGCATCTATTGGTGTCCGACTTGGACAAGATACTGCTTAAGCTGCCATACCAGCTCATTGGTATCAATGTAGAGTACTATGATGTGCGCAAATTCGATATGGTCAACATGCTGTTGGGGTCGCATCGGGGCAAGGTGCAGTCAAGCAAACGTAATATGCAGACAACGCGTGAGATGTTTCAATGGCTGCACAACGAATATGCTGTGCTGCGTGGACGCGGCACTGGCGATGACCACATCAATGTGGAATTTGTGCTCAGTGAAGCCGTCTATAAGCAGCACAAGGTGCATTTATCGATATTCGATATTTTTGAATGCAATGGCCGCACGGATATAAACAACTTCTTCAAAGCGCTGCCCACTGGCAAGCGCACCAAGAGTACGCTGCTCACCGATTGCATCAAGGAATCGTTTGATGCCAAGGAACCCATCTTTACCTTGGTGCTGTGCGAAATGCCTTTGGATAAGGAGTGCGCACGGGAGATGCACAAGTTCCTGCAGCTGGCCGATTTGGTCTGTATGAGCATCGGCGCTACGCACAGCAAGATGGAACATCAGGTAAAATCCATCGAATCCAGGACATCGCTACAAAGCAGAACAAGGCTGAGCAGCAGCAGCAACCTGTCACTGGATCCGATTAGGAAACACTCTCAACGGAACTTGACCAGCATGTCGCTACGTTATCGTCCGGTGAGTCTCTCCCATGAGGACTACAGTAAACTAGCCGCCTGGTATCATCGCATTGACACCAAGTATGCCGAAGTAAAGGTCTGCATGGAACGCCACTACAATGTTCAGTATCGCCAAAAATTATTGAAACTCTGCAAGCAGCTGAACTCCTGCCGCATCCTGACTGACAAAAGCGGCGGCGATGCCCAGGGCGTGCTGCTTAAGAATAGCTCAAGAGATCTAGCAGCATCTGCTAATTATATGGAGGCACTTAAGCGATTTCGCCAATTGGAAAAGGAAGTCAATAAATGCAACTTTGCGCCCACCTTGTCGACTTATATGAGCACCAAGAACTATGAGCTTCTGAATGCGGAGGAGATGCTGCAGCAACAGGAAACATCAAATCTACGGGAGCACAGAGACCGCATATAAAACACCAGTTATGCTATTTTTTTTAAGGGGATTCATATAGTTGCCTGCTTACTGCCTAGATTAAAATATTTACCCAAATTATTTCTATGCAGCAATCAGTCAAAAACCTGTGAACCCTGCGCAAAATTTAGAAATAACATTGAAATCAGTTTATGGAATTTGTCTATTCCATTTCATATAAGTTAAATATATATTTTTTTGTTATGAGAAACACGAAATATTTGTGGTTTCGACGAGTATACATATAATATAATATATAATATACATAAAATACATATTTATATGTTTATATATATATATATATATATATGTATATACACACATTTATATAAATTGCAATATTATTGTCAACAATATGTTCCATAATAGTAGTTAAGCAGCTTTATCGAGCTGCGGCTTCAGGCTAACAAACAGTTAAAATGCCAAATACAATGTGTAACAGTTACATAATTCGATATTAAATATATTATATGCCTACATGCAGGGTATACCTTATGAGGTTGAGGTACTCTGCCATTTTGTTATGCTAAAAGCACTCAAAGCAACATTTAAACAATTGATTAATGCAGAAAATGGTAATAAATCTTTAAACAACAATTCAATAAGTATATTGTTAAATATGTTTTGCATATTGGCAATGTTTTGAACAATTTGTCAGTTGGATATGTGCGATTTGCGATGTTCTCTATTGTAGTAAGGGTATAAGGTAAATGGATTTCATCTGGTTTTTGATAGTTTTTTAAACTATTGTTGGCAGTTGGCAAATCTAATAACCACATTGAATAAATACACATGTATTTCTCAAACCAAATTCAATTTCAATTTACGAAACTTAACTTAAAGATCTTAAGAAAAACTGCTAAAAATACTATAAAAAAAAATAAATATAATATTTTCGTAGTTCAACGTAAAATGCAATGCTTTTTTTCATGTTTCTGAGTATGTCGCACTAATTTCTAAACTAAATTTTAATTAACAATTTTAAAAGCGCTTTTAAGAAAACATTGATAACTCTTAAAAGCTGCGCAACTGCATTTTTTTGTATGATACAAATGATTTTTGCTGGCTATTAAAACAATTTGAATATTCTACATAAGAGTATTACATTTACCCTCAAGATAACTGTGAGAAGTTAAATTTAGAGAGGGTTGTTCATGCCGTTTTTTAGTTCTTATGCTCTTCAACCGACTGTGAATATATTGTTTATAGGGTTTTGTAGTACTCTTATCTGTAAATTTCAACTAACATTGAGCTTTGGACAACTTCTGTTTTGATTTCCCTTGTAATTTCCATTAGTTTTGCACAGTCTTTGCGATGGAGTCCAAAGCTTTGTGTTAGTTAATTTTGTGAGCTGCAATGAAATGAAACATACTACACTGGGCTTAGTGTTAACTTAAAACATATATAAAAATATATCTATTCGTAGTTTTATTGCTGAGCTGGGCGCGCTTTAAGTTTACCAATTTTCTTTCAAATCGCGCCAAGTTCTGGAATTTAGTGTATACACAAAAGCTTGATTTCTTTTTTGAAATTTGTTTATGCAATTTTAAATATTAAATGCTATCATTTGCTGTTGGCTAACATGATGTATCCACGTGCTTAATAATCTCTGCGTAATCTCCGGCAACAGATGAACCGCTATTATCCATCCACTAATCTCTACACCTGAGCTGGTTTCTTTTGCTTGCCGAGTACCATGAGCAGCTTTTGTAGGAAGTGTGTTAGGCCTACTGCAAAGTATAAGAACGATGGATGCATTAGTTAAGAACTTAAGAACCGTCAAGTTCTACTTAAGTGCGGTACTATGAATAAAAAAGTAATTGAACAAACGTCTAAAAGTGTTAATGAAACATAAAAAGGGGTTTTAGCTCAACCCGCTAGTAGTTAGTAGTGAGTGCAAAGGGCAGGCAAGAGTGTGAGCGTGTTAGTCGCGTGTTGAAAAAAAAAAGAACTTAGGAAAACTAGGGTAACGATCAAACTTAAAAACCTTTGACGCCGCTTTGGGACGCACAACCATCATCAGTTTCTGTAGTACTTGTGTAAGTCCGCCTAGAAGATTTGCAAGGTACGGGAGCACAGCATAAATCATATATGAAACGGTATTGCAAAACAGTTTTTGGTGAGCACATGATAAGGAAGCAGCTGGCCAATTCAGTGTCAGTTCAGGGCAAACAACTTACCCATGGATTTCTGGAACCATATCGGCTTATTCTTCCAGGCAATGAATACCAAATAGACGGGTATGCTTGACAGTATCATGAGTATGCCATAGCCCGTCTCCACGGGACTGGCATACATGGGCACAACAGTAACGAATATTGTGGCAATCAGATATACAACGGGGAATACCAAGGGCACGCGAATGGGGCGTGGCAAATTGGGTTGAGCCCAGCGCAGCCAGGGCAGGCAGAGAACCGCAACGCCAATGCTCAACTATATGTGGAAAATCCAATGTGAGCTGCTTCATAGAAACATGATTAACAGAACTTACCCAAGTCGCAAAGCCCACATAGTTGATAAGCGCAAAGATGTCGGATACCGTGAGGTACAGCATGGACAACAGAGCCATGGCCAGCACAGCGGGCGTGGGTGTAAAACGTTGAATTTGAATCATGGTTAAAATCTCTGGCATCTGACCCTCGTTGGCGCCAGCGTAGAACAGACGCGAGGAGGTCAGCAAAATTCCATTGACGGCTCCAAAAGTGGACAGTGCCACAAATACTAGGCAAAATAAATAAGAAAAATTCGTTAAATTCAAATACCTGTCATGCTTTCATTAATGTTCACCCACCTGGTATGGTCCAGGCCAGCATGCCAAAGGCTCGCTCCGCATAGGTAACAGCCACAGCTGAGGAGCCTAATACCTCCTCCGGCGATAGGATTGTGTAGAAGGATACATTGGCCATCACATAGACAACAGTGACAAGTGTGCAGCTGATGGCAATGGCACGCGGCAGATTTTTGACGGGATCCTTCAGCTCCTCAATGATAAAGTTCAAGTAATTCCTGTCAGGAAGAACAAATCCAATTAGACCAACCAACCAAGCGAACAAACAAAGCGGCTTAACGCTTACCAGCCATTGTACGCGAACAGGCCCGAGTAGAAGGACAGTGCCAAGGATGTAACCCGCGTGTCGCTATTATCGAACGTAAAGTACTTCACATTGCCCATATATAGCTGGTACATGCCCGTGGCAATAATAATAAACAGGGCGAATAGCTGAAAATGCCAATGTCCTGGCTCTGTTGTAATCTCTGACTTTAAATTGCAAATCCCGTTTAACTTACTTTTGCATATGTAAAGATATCCTGCACTGCGGTGGCCCATTTAACGTCCCAGCAATTGATTAATGTTAGCACCACTGTACAAAATAATGGAAACAAAGGAACTTCAATATATTGCTAGAGATTTAAAGAAGGCATTGAATGCATGAACCATCCGGATGATGTAATAAACTGAGGATTTACACAATGTAAAAGGCATTGATTTTGTATAGCTGCAGCGCGTAGATGTCCGCATTATTAAATCAATATTAAATAAGTATTAAAACGATCAGTCAATCCCACATTGACAACAAGCTAAACGTGCCAGACTTTTGGCTTGACATTTGGGCAGACGAATGAAAATAGTTGAAGGAACTAACTTTGAGATGTCGAAGAATAAATGCTCTTTCAGATACTTAAGTTTAGATACTTTTATATATCCACATGTATAGTTCGTTAAACATTTATTTATATATTTTTACTTAGGGACAGACTAGGAATATGCTAAAGCTTAAGATTAAGCTTAAGATTTTCTTCAAGTATTATTTACTAATTAGAGAAGTTTCTAGTTCTTCTATGCTTCATAAGCCATAAAATAAGCTTAGAATATATATTTATGCTAATCTAATAGCATTTTCTATCGATCTTTGTCAGCCTTCACATCACACTAAATATATAGAGATTGATTTGTATGATGTTTATTTAGTTTGTTTACAGAAAACAACAACGAGAATAATAAATAAAACGGAAATCAAAGCACCTCCCGCCTCGTTTACAGCTGCTGATAAGCCAAAATCAAACACTTTTCGCATTCGTATGCGTATTTACTCTGTTCTCAGGGGATCTGTTTGAATTGGGTTTAATCTATAGGTCAAGTACGCAGCATTTGCGAGTGCACTGATACCCGGCTATGCAATAGTTGTATCTGTCTGCGCTACTCACGTATACAGCAAACGGCGAGCAGTCGTGATGCATCCTCGGGTGGTGTGCATTCCGGAAAGAAGGGCTTCAGAACGTAGGTGCTAAATGTTAGAGCCACAATGGCCTGCGAGCAGGGACGCACAATCATGCACTCGATCCAGAGTCGTATGAACGCCATGAAGGGTCCGAACGTTTCCATAATGTACGCATAATCAGCTCCAGATTTGGTTATCATGGTGCCCAGCTCGGCGTAACAGTAGGCGCCCACCTAAATCAATATTGATGAGAGAATTGAAAGAGTGCTGAGAATTCAAAATTTAAAAACTTCTAAAAGCAATTTGGTTCTTTCAACCCCAAAGTGGCTGTCATTTCCGCAACTTGACTGCCAGCGACCACGCAGCGTATACGCAATTTTTTATTGAATAGCAGCGCATGCTTTTGACAAGGGCGTTTCCGGCCTGCGTGTGCGTGTGTATGTGTGTGGGGTATGCGGGAATTTCAACAATTTCATTAAAACACAAAACGCTGCCAGCATTTCTAATTGAGTGTTGGTCCTTTTGACAGCTTTACATTGTCACGCGCATTTCCATTAGTTGGCTTTGCCTCTCATCGAAGCACATCTGTTTACTGCCACATGCAGTCACCAATTCAAACCCTCAACAGGTGTCAGCTACCTGCCTGTTGGCCCATTTGCATATCACTTAATCAATATTTATAAGTCGCTGATCCCCCATGCACTTCTACACGCATGACACTCACCATTGAGAAGAGTCCAGATATGACCCACACAATCAACGCCAAATTAACGCTGCCCGTGTACATCAGCACACCCGTGGGCGAGACAAAGATACCGGAGCCAATAATTGAGCCCACAATGACGGTGCAGCCGTTCAATAAGCTCATTTTGGCTTTAAGTGTCACCTCACCGCCACCAGCACCGCCATCCCCTGCACCGTCATCGCCATTTGTCAATTTGGTGGATGCATCTCCATTGCCGTTCACAATGGAGCTCTTGCGTGAGGAGTTCTTGCGATTGAGCGACTCCGTTTCCATGCTTGCAGCTGTGATATCTCAAGAAGCTGCCTGAAAATGGAATATTTGAGAAAGGGTTTGTTAACAAAAGGTCTCTTAAATATTAACAAACATATTTTGATTTAATTATGTGGCGTTTGCACAGATTAAGTATAAGGTTAAAGCCAACAAAATTGGAATATTTATATGGGAATTAGCTATTATTATTAGATAAAGATTCGTTGAGATAAGAAAACATCGTTTATATTATTATCTCCTTTGTTATTTCGGTAATTTATCTTCAAGAATATACATTTTTGAATATCTTATACGATTTTTTCTCAGCTCCTCAAATTACTTTGTAAGCTCATTTATAGATATGTATATTTCCTGAGCTATATTTAGCAGCTGTTCAGAATAACATGTAGTAGTCTTTGTAGTCTTTCAGATAGCATATGGCTGTCTGTTTATCAACTTCTTCGTATAATGCAACTAATTATTCAAGAGTCTCTAGTGGCCGTTGCCGTTTTTTCATTACTTTGCTAATTGTTTGCACAACAGCTACAAGAGCTGAGATTCATGTTAATTAATTGGGTAGTATTTGCGTTAGACTAGTCAATTAAAGTTTTTTATATGCCTAGCTCAGCTAAATAATTTTTATTCTACCAGCTTTATAATCTAAAGCTTGAAATCTGACTTTTAGCGGCATGACTGTGTGCTTGTTATTATATTTTTCCTTCTTATGTTTGTGAGTGAAAGGCATTCAAAGTTCATTGGCCAGTAAGAGGCAAATTATTTGTTTCATTTTTGCAATTTACTTTTATATAACTCGTATCGTGTTCCAGTTCTTAAACCTTTCTTCAATGCTTAAGTCGACAGCAGACATTAGTATAGCCCTGCGCACTTGCACCTTTTGATTATGCCCGACCTCATTATCAGCTACGGTTCAGCTCGGACACACGATGAGGAAACGCAAGACGATGAGATTTCATCAAGTTCGTTAAACCACGAAAATTTTCATTAAATAAAATGCTATATAAAGTTTGACAGATCCCCAGATTGATTGTTGACACATGATGCGCGTGTTGGCCCATAAAATATACTATCCAAACATGTTTTCCTTCTCAAGGCTGTGGAAAGCAAACAACGAACTATTGGGCACCGCCCACGTCATACTCTTTCTTTCCGTCCTCTTTTAGCTCTGATTAGGTCACAATGTTGTTTTTATACAATATACAAGTGTATAGTATATATGTGTATAGCCAGGTACTTCCTCTAAAGCAAGAACCTGCACTGGGCACACGCTTTGCATGAATTAGCATAAAATAAAGGCGAGAAAAACAACAGATGTGAATTAACTATTGTGCGACAGTTAAAACGAGCAGGTGAATATAACTTATTTAAATTGTGAAATTATACATTTTACAAAATTCTTCATCTCTTGAAATCTTTTAATCTGACTACAGGGTATCCAAAGGTACGTCCTCTTGGTAATAGCTTCTGCTGCTAATTACCCATCTGAAGGTTTTCTTTTCGCTTCACAGTTGAGCGGCCAACTTGAACGGAGTGTAAAATGTTATAAACCGCCAAAAAAAAAAAAAAAAAATAAATAAAAAATAAATTGTCCAAAATTTTGACTCCATTTGTGATGCAATCAAATTGAGCACTTCAAGCAAATTGTTGATTGGGATTTCAATTTGTAATTGGGGGTTTTTTGTCGATTACCTACATTGGCAAACTATGCGGAAATTGGCAAATATTATATGCTTAGAGAATTACTATGAAATTTACAACATTTCTTAGTCACGAGTTTGCGAAATGCGAGCGTGTGAAAGGCAATTATAATTGGCTTTTAGCAAGCCATTAGATAAATGCACTACATATGACTCCAACAATTGTCTTTTCTATGTAGGTCTGGTCATTGCCAGCCAGCCTTTCACTCTGTTCGCAGGCATTAACCTGGCCGAAACTTAGCCCAAAATCACAACAATAGCGTGTTGATTCATCAGGCTATGTGTATTAGAGTGCCGCCCAAATTGTGTACGCATAAAATAGCACACGAAATCCATTAATTTTGATACCGTAAACAAAATACAATATAGTTTTTTTGTAGCTATCTATTTGCTTATATGTAGCATTCATGTGTGTTCCACAGCTATCATTTTTGTTGCTTTCAGGCAGCCGTTGTATACATACTATACTGTACTGTAGATTTTCACACTTTCGACTGACTAATAAAGTTATTATCAAAATTACGACAAATTTTCGTTTCACTTTTTATATTGCAAACTGGGAACTGGGATTAACAAAAAAAAAAGATCTCTTCTTGAGCGAAAATTGCTTAATTCTAATAATTGAGTGAATTTTGTTTGGCTTGGAGGTGTAAATTGTTATTTGCATTAATTTATTACTCTTGAGACACTTGTTTGAATATTAAAGTTGTTTTTCGATAGGCTTTAATGCGTTGTCCAAATTAAGAGATTTATAGATATATTTCAAGCGAAAAATGGCTGTATTCTTTTCTTTTTCGGTGTAAAGCACAACACAATAGAACGGGCAATGAATAAACAATGTCTTTGTGCGTTAATTCTGGCCAAGATTACACACAGTTGTTAAAACATTTTGTGATATTTATTGTGTTAGCTACCTTCTCAAAAGCAAATACAATATTTCGCGCCACAAAAATCCGTCGAATGTTGCCAAGTACAACGAGAACTGGAACCGCACGCGGCCAACGAATAGAGCAGACTGAAAAGAGCGTTGGCTGCTCCACGGCATCTTTGCGGCGCAATCTCAGTCAGAGTAAGTGCTCGGTCTGGTTGGCATTTGGTATGACCTACCCGCTGATAAAGCTCTGCCCTCAGCTCAAGCTTCGCGGTCTGTCGGCAAAGCTTGCTGTGCTGCTGCGCTACATCGAACTTGTCGGAGGTTGGCGGTTCTGTGGAGGGCTCGTTCGTTTCTAACCGGCATTTTTGAATTTATAATTTTGAACCAAAAACGAGTTTTTTACGCGGCGATTGCCGCATTTCTTCGTGTATTTGGCTTTCATCAGAATTTCTGTTGTTGCCGTAACAAAAGTTGTAGTTTATTTCTCTTGTTTCGTTATATATATATATATATATATATATATATATATTTTTTTTGTGTTTTTGCCGTTTTGTTTTTGTGTTTCACCGTATTCTCGCATCGTGTTTGCTCTTAATTGTTGTACATATTCTCCAGCAAGGCGGAAAAAGTACGCGTCATTTTTATCTAACAAAAGTTGTACGCAACTCTAATTAGCAGAATGCTGTACTTTTGCCCTGTAGCTCGGCACACATTTGATAGATACTTTATCTTTCGGCACTTGAAAATATTAAAAAGATGAAGCGGGGTAGCTGGAGCCACATATTCGCACTTTTCTATCCCTGTTCAAATGCATGAGCTGCAGTGTGTTTGCCACCACAAGATACAAAAGTATCTTGCGCATTAGATGAGCACACAATAAGTACGTAGCGAATGTATCTTTTACGCGTTGTCATTCGCTTAGCTTATGTAAATTTCATGACAGCCTCACAGATTTTTTGCGCGTACATTCAAATCCCACACTCTGTCGCTTGAATTACCCTATAATTGAATGTTTCCGCACTTGGGGCAACGTCTGTCTACCCAGCTATCTATTATGGGAAGATATGACGTTCCAAAACGACATAACTCCGCGCGGTATGATGGGTAATAGCTCCGCGGGGAGATATGACGTTCCAAAACGACATAACTCCAGGCGGTATGATGGGTAATAGCTCCGCGGGGAGATATGACGTTCCAAAACGACATAACTTCTTCCGCTCGGATGGAAATAGCTCCGCGGGGAGATATGAAGTTCCAAAACGACATAACTCCGCGCGGTATGATGGATAATAGCTCCGCGGGGAGATATGACGTTCCAAAACGACATAACTCCCTCCGCTCGGATGGAAATAGCTCCGCGGGGAGATATGACGTTCCAAAACGACATAACTCCGCGCGGTATGATGGGTACTAGCTCCGCGGGGAGATATGACGTTCCAAAACGACATAACTCCGCGCGGTATGATGGATAATAGCTCCGCGGGGAGATATGACGTTCCAAAACGACATAACTCCCTCCGCTCGGATGGAAATAGCTCCGCGGGGAGATATGACGTTCCAAAACGACATAACTCCGCGCGGTATGATGGGTACTAGCTCCGCGGGGAGATATGACGTTCCAAAACGACATAACTCCGCGCGGTATGATGGATAATAGCTCCGCGGGGAGATATGACGTTCCAAAACGACATAACTCCGCGCGGTATGATGGATAATAGCTCCGCGGGGAGATATGACGTTCCAAAACAACATAACTCCGCGCGGTATGATGGGTAATAGCTCCGCGGGGAGATATGACGTTCCAAAACGACATAGCTCCGCGCGGTATGATGGATAATAGCTCCGCGGGGAGATATGATATTCCAAAACGACATAACTCCCTCTGCTCGGATGGAAATAGCTCCGCGGGGAGATATGACGTTCCAAAACGACATAACTCCAGGCGGTATGATGGGTAATGCTCCGCGGGGAGATATGACGTTCCAAAACGACATAACTTCCTCCGCTCGGATGGAAATAGCTCCGCGGGGAGATATGACGTTCCAAAACGACAAAACTCCGCGCGGTATGATGGGTAATAGCTCCGCGGGAAGATATGACGTTCCAAAACGACATAGCTCCGCTCGTTATGATGGATAATAGCTCCGCGGGGAGATATGACATTCCAAAACGACATAACTCCCACTGCTCGGATGGAAATAGCTCCGCGGGGAGATATGATGTTCCAAAACGACATAACTCCGAGCGGTATGATGGGTAATAGCTCCGCGGGGAGATATGACGTTCCAAAACGACATAACTCCCTCCGCTCGGATGGAAATAGCTCCGCGGGGAGATATGACGTTCCAAAACGACATAACTCCAGGCGGTATGATGGGTAATAGCTCCGCGGGGAGATATGACGTTCCAAAACGACATAACTCCGCGCGGTATGATGGGTAATAGCTCCGCGGGGAGATATGACG